ATGTGAAACAGATCACAGAACGTTTAGGGAAAACAAGAGAGATTGCAAAGAACAATATTAAGAAAGCACAAGATAAACAAAAAGAAAAATTTGATGAAAAAGTGAAACCACACAAATACGAGATTGGAGAAGAAGTACTACTCTTTGATAGTAGTTCTCAGAATGTCCATGGTGACAAATTTAGAGAAAAATGGATGGGACCTTTCTATATTCATGAAGTCTGGAAACATGGGACTTACAAATTAAGAAATGTTGAAACAGGAATGGTTATGAGAAAACCAATCAATGGTGCTAGATTAAAACATTACTTCAGAAAACCAGCATGGGAAGCACAAATACTCATAGAGTAAATGAAGATAAACCATAAAAGGAATAACCTTGATAAGAAAACTCAAAACAGATGGGATTCATTGAAAGTAAACAATGATAAGAAGAACCAATCATTGTAAAATAGGAAGACGCCAAGATAAAAGATGAGAAAACAAAAGAATTCTGAGAATGAAACTTTAGATCAAACATCACTTCTAATCTACTTTTCAAAACATTATTTAAAGAGAGAGAATTTCCCTAACTTTCAATCTTCACGGATCAGTCAAAACAACAAAATTAAAATAATAAAAAAACCATTGAATGGAAAATTCAAATAATTATATACATTCAATACACTATCCCTTAAACAGTTTTTCGGCTATTGATAGCTGAAATTTTTTTTCTGTTATAAAAAATTTTTTCTGAGGGTATCACTTCCTAATACGAAAATGATCTTTGAGATTCAGCCGATTGGCCTGTAAAAAAATTTTTGGGTGTTGTCCTTGTGGTTTTCGTATAACTTTCTTTAAAAGTCATGCAATTGGAAAAAAATCGTAAATTTTTTTTACAACAATATTGCAGATCATCAAAGCACCCGAAAATTTCGCCCGAATTTTTTACTAATGATAAAAATAAATAGAAAAAAATGCACCATTGCCTCCAAAGAAAGAGTATATAAGGGAAGTAAATTCTTCATTTCTTTAAGAATAAATCAATTAATTTTTTAATTAAACTTTAAAAAAAATTTTAATATCAATTATTTTAAAAATGAGTATAGAAGAAATCAGTCAACAACATGAAATTGATAAATATTTATGTAGTATTATTAGAGAAAGACCTTCAACTATATTTAATGAAGATGAAATAAATGAAGATGATGTTGAAGAAAATAACAATAATAATAACCAAGAAGATCAAATGCAAATTGATCATATTATTAACAATGGAAATGATGGAGATGATAGCCAAATGCTAATTGATGATGTTAATAATCAAAATAGAAATGAAATTAGAGGGAGGGATAGAGGAAGAATAAGAGGTGGTAGAGGAAGAGGTAGAGGTAGAGGTAGAGGAGGAAATGATAATAATGTACAGGCAGTTAATCTTCCATCACCTCCACCATTTAATAAATTTGTACATGAAAATTCTTTACATGAATCTAGAGCATTATTGCCTTCAGGAATTGATATTATGCCTTATTCATTGTTTAGTTTATTCTTTACTGTTGATATTCTAGATATTATTGTATACAATACAAATATTTATGCTGATGAAAAAGGTGCTGGAGCTGGAAGACGATGGGATGCTCTTGAATTAAGTGATTTTAAAATTTGGTTGGGAATAGTAATATATTCAGGAATTTTTAAATTACCATCAATGAGAGATTATTGGAAAACTTCTGATAAATATCCACAACATAAAATTACTGAATACATGTCTTTAATCAAATTCGAGCAAATTAAAAGATATTTTCATGTCTCAGATCCAACTGAAAACATTCAAGAAAATACTCCATGGTATCACAAAATCGAACCACTTGCATCATCTATTTTAAATAGTTGCATGAAATATTACCTTCCTTCCTCAAATTTATCAGTTGATGAAATGATTATTAGATTTTCTGGTAGAAGTCCTCATACTATTAGAATGAAAAATAAACCTACTCCTGAAGGATATAAAGTATTTGCTTTGTGTGATGCAGGGTATACATATAATTTTATGTTCACATCAAGAATTAAAAAGAATTCATTTATTCAAAATATACCAGGAGTGAGTCTAACAGGATGTGAAGTTTATCATTTATTAAAAGAATTGCCAATTGGTAAATCTTTTAACATTTATATGGACAACTATTTTAGTAGCATAAATTTATTTAATTATTTAAGTGAAAAAAAAATTGGTGCATGTGGTACTGTACGTAAAAATTCTTCCAAATTTCCAAATGTTCTGAAGACTGATAAAAAATTAGATTGGGACACACTTAGTGGAGTTGTTGTGGATGATGTATTATCAATTTTGTGGATGGACAATGGCCCAGTAACAATGTTGACTACAATCCATGAAATTACTGGTGCAGAAAATAGAGTAGAAAAAATACGTCGTTGTCCAAGGATCACAAGTACAAATGCAGCAAAAGTCAGACAAGTATTTGGAAATGCAGTTAAAAAATCTCTCCCAATTCCAAAAGTAATAGATGATTACAATGCTCATATGGGTGGTGTAGACATAGCTGATCAATTACGTGGTTATTATGCTACTCAATTGACAGCCAGGAGAACTTGGATACCGATGTTCTTTTGGTTACTAGATACTGTAATTGTTAATTGTTACTTAATTCATAAAGGTGAAAAGTATTTAAAGATTACTTGTGATAATGCTGGGGGACAAAATAAAAATAATGTAACAATTTGGTTTTATTTATATTTGATAATTTGTGGATATTATGAAAGTGTTGAATTGAATTTCATGATTCCAGGACATACTAAATTTAAGTGTGATGGTAGTTTTGGATTGATCAAAAAACTCTATAGGAAAACAAGAGTAGATTGTCTGGGTCATGTGGTTGAAGTGATAAAAAAGTCTAGTCCAGCAGGATTGAATAAAACTCAATGTTATGGAGGTGGAAAAGGTTTTCAATACTTATATATCAAGTCTATTTTGGGAATTTATTTTAAGAAGCTAAATGGCTTGCAAAGATATCAACACTTTCTTTTTGAAGCATCTAATTTTGGTACAGTGAAAGTTCAAGAAGTTGCTAATGGACTTTTTACTGAATTCAATTTATTGAAAACCAAGAAAGCAGATATTTTTGAAGAAATTAAATTTTTATCTATTTTAGTGTTAACACCACCTCCTTTGGATTACAAAAGACAAGAATATCTTTACCAGAATATTCATCCATTTGTGAAAGATGAATACAAAGATATTACTTGCCCAAGACCAATCTATACTGGCAATGAATAGAATATTTAGAATAAAATCACTTCTATGACTTCTTGCTGTCATTAAGTTTAATAAGTTTAATCTTTTGACAAATATTGTTAGCTTTTTTCCACATTTAAAGTAAAAAAGTGCTAAAATAATTATATACTTAACATACCCCTAAGGATATAAGTATATTAAAAGAATAAATAAAAAAGGAACAAACAAGAAAATCATGACAAACATCCTAAAAGAACAACAAGTAAAAAATAAAAACTCATTAGAAGAAATCAAAACATTAAAAAAACAATTAGCCGATAAAGAAGAAAACTTTAAACTAAGAACTTTAAATGCAGTTAACAATGTTATGGAAAGTGAAAGACCAGAAATTGCTGGCACTTTAATGACCTTAAAACAACATTTTTGAGCTTGAGATGAGTGGGTAAATATTCAAAAAGAAAATGGAGTTGAGAAAGTTATTTTTGGTAATGAATTCACTATTGAAAACATTGTTAAAGGATTTAGTGAATGAACATTAGCTACTTCAGATTCTTTTAGATTTACTTATGATAAAAATAAAGAACTTGAAGAAAAGAATGCTATTCTAGAAAAAAGTGTTGCTGAGTTAGAGATAACCAAACAAGAGTTAGAAGAAGCATTAGAATTAGAGGAGGAAACATCTGAATGTCATTTAGAGGCTCTCGAAGTGGCTAGGCAGTGAAGAATAAGACAAAGCAAAGAAAAAGATGACAACTTAGAAAAAGCTTTGAGAAAAATAGAGATGCTAGAAAATGTTGTCGCATGGCAGAATTATTTAGCAGATAAGCAATTTCAAGAACTATCAGTTTTGCCAAAGAAAGAAAGCAAATTTAAACTTCTAACTAACAAAGTAAAAAATAAAATTAGCCAAGTAAAAGAAATAACTAGGGAAAAATTCAAAACTTATATCTTGCAAAAGGATATAGCATGAAGTTAGGATATCAAACTATCAAGTTAAGGAGAGAGGATAAATGGAATTGTAACTTCTGCCCTTTTGAAAGAGAAAGAAGTCTGACTGCTACTTACAAAATAGTATCTTACAATAGAAGTAGTAATAATTACAATGATATTGCTTATATCTGTATAGAGTGTAAAAAAGCTCTTGATGATGATACTCTATCACATTGTAGTGATTGTGGTCGAATTATGAGAAACAGAATAGATTGTTTCTGTGATTTAAGGAAAGATGAACCAGTTAAAATTCCAACAATAACAGAAATAATGGCACAGAGTTATGTTGGTAGATTAGAACAGCAAAATAAAGACTTAAAACAGCAACTATCCAGTGCTAAGGAAGAAATCAGTTCTCATTTGGAAGCCTTAGAAGTTTCAAAAGATTGGCATAGTAAGCAAAGGCAAGAATTATTAGATAAAGTTCAAAGACTTGAAACTGAGGTTGAATGACTAAGAAAACAGCAGACCCAACAAACTGCTCAAATTGAAGTCAAAAAATGACCTTGATTGAAAATAAGAAAGTAATTTAAAGAGGATTGAGGAAGTATTTTCCTCTAATATAAATGAAATCCATTCCAACTATCAAAGAAAACAAGTTATTTTCCTTTTAAGGATTTTGGCTTTTTGTTAGGTAATAATGCATCTTCATGCTGCTTTCTTTTTCCAACATTTATTATTTTTCTTTCTTCTTGGTAAATTTCATAAGTAATCTTTTCTTTTCTTAGATAAGCTTCAAGTGTTTGAGTATCATTTATTTTAAAAATATAAGAAGCAATTTTTTCACCTTGTTCTTTCTTCAAAATACTTCTAATGGTGCTGTAATTCTTGGGTTCCATAGTAGACCTTATGTAAATGAGTTTCATATTAACTATTTTTGTCTAGACAAATATCATGATCACATTACATGATAATATAATTGTGATGTTAGACAACATATTGATCCCTGAAAGTCTTGATAATACCAATGTTCACTTTGTCTGGTTTTGTTGCAGCATGCCCCACTTGACATAGAGAGCCTCTATCAATATGGGAGAGAGCTCGTTAGAAAGCTATAATGTCATAGTTTTATTTTTGATTAATAACAAGTATTTGAATGTTGAACTTGAATGAGCCAGTGAGCTTGTACAGATCAAATCACACAAAAAAGGTTTTTACAAATTTGGGAATTTAATACTGAACAAAAAAAAAATAATCACAATTAAAAATTTTAATTCAATTTATTTAGTCCATTACTGTTAATTTTTCTTAATCTTTTGTATTCACTTACAGCATCTTTTGAACATTTAACCTGAGAATAATCAAATTTTAAAATCTGAAGCTTGTCCAGCGAATTCACTCTACTCAAAGCAACATTTTTTTTCAGTCAGTTGCCACATTTCCTAATAAAAATGACAAAAGCAGATTAATTGATAAAAAACTTAAATAAAAAAAGGAATAAATTCATGTGTGTCCCAAATGTTTCTAATTAGTACTAAAAGATTTACTAATTCCTAAAACAACTAAATCTGTTTGATATGTTGTATGTGAAATTGAAATTGAAATTTTATTAATTAACAAATAAATAATAATTAATTCACCATATCTGACCAGATGCTACTTCATTATTGAAATTTGATATATTCTTTGTAAGAGGTGATGCATTGCATACCCCCAGGAATATATAGATAAGGTTATATAATGGAAGTTTGTTTTGATTGGCCCAATATTTATGATTGACATGTCCGAAAATTGAAGAATTAGCTGATAGTATTAGTGTTGGTATTTGCTTCATTACATATGTTGATAAATAAATAACAAATAGATAAATAATAATCAAATTATGCTTTGTCAATTATTTCACAAAAGAATTATTGTATTTTATTAAACACACCTAGACAGAAGATTTTGGATACCTATTTCTGTATTTATGTTAATTACTCTGACACATACACAGTAATTAAATAAAAAAATTTAAAAACATACTTCTGGTACATCTAGGTGTTCAATAATTATGGTTAAATTTTAAATTACAAATTGATATAAATTTTTATATAATTATTATGAGTAATTAATGTAAATAAGTTACCTGAAACTTTTATCTAGGAGTGTGTGTATGACATACATGTGTTTTAAATAAATTTATATTTTAATTAATTTGAATTTATGCATCTTTAAGTAAAAAAAAGTTGAACTAAAATTGCATCCAATTTACAAGATGCATTAGATTATGTAGATAAATGGTAGCAAATTAATGATAACATATGTTTGAAAATTTATATTTTGCTAATTTACCTTTGAAATCAATAGCTTCTTTGTTAAAAAATAAATATATACATGAATTAGTACTCCATACTTCATATTCATCTACTCATAAATTTTTATAAATATCTATATAACTCTAAAAAATTTCTATTTAACAAATATGAAAAAGTATTTTTAAGAGGTGTGTAATAAATGGGTTTATGATTTTTTAATTTAATTTTAATCTCTAATTAATTGAGATTTACCATTGTATACGCCATAGAACTAGACCTTTTATTATTAAGAACACTATTCATGTCGACGCAATGTCTAGGGAACATTCCCTTAATCCCACCACGTGATTCGTTAATACCATTTACCCAACCATCATCATATTCCACAAGAATTGTAACCTTATCACCAGGTTGTATCTCCAATTCGTCATCTAAGGATGGTGTATAACTTGCAACAACAGTGAATGATCCTAATGATGTTGGCTCATCATCCTCCTCCATCTTTTCGTATGCATTATTTTGTTGTTCCCATGCAACAGAAGATGTTGCAACAATATTATTAGCCATTTCTCTACGTCTTTTTCTGCGAACAAATGCAAAAAGAATAACAGCCACAACAATTAAACCACCGATTGAAGAAAGAACAATAATCGTGGTCCAAGAAATTGGTTCAGTTGGAACAGATTCAGATGCTCCAGAATCAGAATTTTTGAATTGTGATTGATCGTTTACACTTTTAGCTGATTCAGTAGACGCTGGTGGATCTATTTTTTATTGTTTGAGAAAAAATTAACATCAATTATATATTTTATTGTATATAAATTGTTAAATAAATATATGTATGCATGATGAATACTTACTT